GAGAGAAAGGAATCTTGTACTGGAAGCTGTCGTGGGGCCCACTGAGTCACACAGCTTATCCTTTAGTCCACACATCTTGACTTGCAAATGTCCATTGCCATGAGTCATTGGTCTGGCTCGAGACCTCTGGCTTCTGCTACACCACCCATAATGGACTCTCACTGGGACTCCTGTGAGATATCCTGTAATTATCCTGTGTCATGGAGATCCTGCTGTTTCAGATCTGTAGGTTCATCGCCTTCACCTGCTCCAACAGTTCATAGACGGAGTGGGCCAACTCATAGCCCTGGTTCTGGGCCTGGGTGGTAGCTGGCTGCCATCTTTCCCTCATCATTACCACCCGGGGTGAGCTCTCCAGCACTGCCTGGCCCTAGGGTCACAAGAATGAGAGAGCTAGTCCTGACCCTCACCAGCTGCAGCACATGAGAAAGCAGCCTCTTCTTCCTGTCTGGGCAGCACACTAGAGCTGCCCCTGGTGTCGGGGATGCAGGTGAGGCAGCCCAGAGGGCGTGAGAGCAGGAGAGCTGACCCCCACCCCCAAGTCTGCTGTGTGGTGGCATGGGCGAGGGAAGATGTCCTCCCTGCTTGGACCCTTGCTTCTTGCTTCTGAGGCAGGCGAGAGTCAGCTGGCTCCTGGGTCACAAGAGTGAGAGAACTGGCCCTGCCCCTCACCAGCTGCAGCACACAGGAGAGCCGGCCCTGCACCCCACCTGGGCAAAACCGTAGAACCGGTCCTGGTGGTGTGAGTGTGGGTGACCTGGCTCTGAAGACCTGAGAGCAGGCGAATGGTCCAGCTCCTTGCTTCACGCTGCATTGCACGAGCTGGCTGAGGCAGTAGGTGGCGTGAGTCTTGATGCCCAAGCCCTAGCTGGGCAGTTTTTGGGTAGCTCATGGCTGCTTTAGGATGAACAGTTTTCTTCAGGGGCGTGACCCCTAGGAAGTCACCCATTCTCCTGTGGATGGTCCCATAATCATGCACACCCAGGCACACAAGTTGAGCTCACTGGGTTATTGAGAGAGAGAGAAGAGAGAGGGAGGGAGGAAAGGAGAGAGAGAGAGAGAGAGAGAGAGAGAGAGAGAGAGAGAGAGAGAGAGAGAGAATTGGGAAGGGAATATAAGGGAGTCTGGGAAGAGTTGGAGGAATGGAGTTGAGGGTTGTAGATGATAAAAATACATTATACCCATATATGACATTCTCAAAGAACAAATAAAAAACAGCACACACTTGAAAAACAAACAAAACAAAAACAAAAACAAAACCCAAGAGTATCAACATGGCCTCCAGGGCTAGAAAATTATCCTCAAGTTGTAAGATGCGTTGGGGAAGGATAAATGTGAAGTTTACATTGAAAAAAAAATCCATTAATTGAAAAATGGGCAATTAAAGCCTACACCAGCTATCCGGTCCAGGTTCACAAGATGAGGCCGCTCCTTGATCACAGTCTTAGTGAAGTGTAAATATTTTAAGTAGGAGGCGAACAGTCAGCAAAAAAGAAACACCATGTGTGATAGAAAGTGCCTATGCCTCTCTGGTCTAGACAAGACAACAGATCTGGGAGATGCTCAGTTCCAGGCATATGCTTTGTCAGGGGTATTGAAATTTTATACTGTTCAGGAGGCAGAGACACTGGATGTAAGGCTTAAACAGGTTATTCAAATGATGACTAAGAGACCAGGTGACCAGAGACTGGTTCAGAGGCCGTCCTCAGGCATGCCACTTGAAAGGTGTGTTCACTCAGTTGGATGTCAAAAGGTAGCTCAAGGTTTATTATAAGATAACGAAGTTCGTTCTGGAACTTCCTTGCTATTGAAAAGAGCCTCCTAGTATCCAGAACTTTCTAACCAAAGAAATTCAGCAAAAGAAAAGGCTGTAGCTTCTTTAATAGCAGAAGGGGTGAATTCCATTGAGGTCAAGGCCAAAAAATGCTAACATATAATTATCCAGCTCTTACGTTCCCTTTGGGATTATGCAGGAAAAACAGCCACTTAGGTTATTTAACTACCAATTATTTTTTCAAACCTTGGGCATGAGTACAACTTTTTTTTCTTTTCTTTTTCTTTTTTTCAAACTTGAATTTTTATCTCCTTGTGGAAAAAAAAAGAAAACTTGGGGGGGCAGATATAATACTAATAATGAAGAGGCTAATGGAACAAAAATTAAAAGTCTGGACCTAGAGCCTGGATCTGCTGTTAGCTTTCCCAGAGCCAAAGTGTATGTCCTGTGTTTTGTTTTGTTTTGTTTTGTTTAAATGGGGACTTTGTCAAAACCTGTATTTTCTTAGTAACCTAGTAAGCATTTAACTTTAGAAAAGGAAAATGAAAAACAATATCTTCCGTCTGTCTAAAGAGTTTCATGCAAGGTCAAAGGATCCAGGGAACAGGGCTTTTATTCCCCAGCTCTGCTGTCAGAAAGGCACATTTCAGCACCGGACCAGGCTGTGGCAGGACCCCAGAGGACAGATGTGCAAAAGCAGATACAGGCCACGGCGCCCTTGCCTTTCCCATGGCATCCCTGCTGTGTCCAGATGTTCTAGTGTAGTGGCTGGAACACCAGATCAAAAGATCGCAAAGTTTCATCTTTAGCCCTGGGATCTGATATTTTCTCCTTTTCCTTTTGCTTAGTTGCTCTATCTCCTTACTCCTTCTGTTATTATTTCCTTTGCTCCTCCTTCTCTGGCCCCTCCGTGTCTGCTCTTTACTCTTCTGTGAGAAAGAAAAAGGGAGTTCAAAGGAAGTTAGGAAGTATGTGTGTAGGGAGTAGGTGTGCGTGGGGGTGGGGTGGACAGAGAGGCCAGGATGTAGCTCAGTGATGGAACACTTGTATGGCCTGTATAAGGCCCTGGCTGCCACCCTTCAAATGGGGGGGGGGAGGAAGAAAGAAAAGAAAGAGAAAAGGAAGGAAGGAGGGAAGGAAGGAAGGGAGGGAGGGAAGGAAAGGAGCAAGGGAGGGAGGAAGAGAAGGAGATAGAAATACAGATAGTATAGCGGCAAGGGAGCGGAGATAGGAAAAAGGTCGTCTCAGAGGGAAGGAGATGTGGAAGCTGGAAATGGACCCAGAGAAAGGGAAAGTGAGAATGAAAGAACAAAGGGGAAGAAAAAGGCCCTGAAGGAAGGACACCAGGAGAAAAGGAGGAAGAGAAACAGAGTTGGGGTGGCGTTGTTGGTAAAGAGCGCTACAGGCCTGCTGCACCATCTGAGGCATCTATGAGGCCTGGGAACCTTGAGTGGGTGGGGCAAGATGGAGTCCCCAACATGGTCAGGATACTGTGCATAAGTCAGGAAGCACGGAGTGGATTGTGGTGGCTCCTTAGCTTCCTGGTGTTTTGCCCGTCTTTCTTTTTCTAATTACAAAACGAACTCTTCAGTGTGGCGTGAAACCCAACGCCAACCTGGCCTATCAGAGTCCTTCTAGGACCTTGAAAGAGATGTTTTCCTTCTTCCAGGGTTTTCAGTGGAAGGCTGCCTGTGGCCAGTTTAAGAATGTGAAGGAATTAGAAGCACAAAGGTCAGGAGGAGTAGAGGCAGCCAGCGAGGAAGAGCCACTTGGCTGGGTCATTCCATGCTGGGAGATGTCATAACCATCCTCTGAGCTGGTGCATTTTTTTTTTTTTTTTTTTTTTTTTTTTTTGCCTTGCGTAACTTTAGCTGTGTCTTGGAGTCAATACACTATAAGGCATTTTAAACCTCCACGTTAATCCATTCTCTAGCTTAACTAACTTTCTTTTTGAAAGTTAGTTGCAGGAACAAAAAAGAAAGAGAGAAAGAAAAAGTCAAGTTTGAGATTTTGGAGGTTGAAATCTGTGCCCCGACTCTGTGGACTGAGAGGAGATTCCTAGGCCAAGATCTGCAGCTTGGTTGAGAAATTTGATGGTAATCCCAAAGCCCCAACATGATGATTAGTTAAGAGAGAACAGAACCCCATTTTGAGATGGATCAGGGATACATATCAGTGCTTTGGATCTATCATCTATCTATCTATCTATCTATCTATCTATCTATCTATCTATCTATCTATCTATCTATTTACGTTGAAGTTTTAATTGAGGACTAAGTCAGCCCCCTCAGTGACATTTGTACTAAAAAAGCTCAGAAGAGCCCGAGCCCTGAAGAGGGTGCCCTGTGGCCAGCCACATTGGTTTGTCTGCTTTGATAAGAGCCTATCTCCCTGACAGCATCCGTCCAACTGGTTCCTCTACTTTTTGAGGAGCCGAGCCCAAGGATGACATTTGCTGTGGTAGGCAGGCATGCCCGTGATGAACTAAAAGCCACACGGCATTTGTTAAACAGGAGGTCTTAGCCTTGCTCTATACTTGAAAACAGAAGCTGGCTTGGTCTGGAGGCAGCTTCCACCTTCTTCTCTATTTCTGGCAGAGAAGCTTCGAGATGGGCTAGGGCTGTGCATCAGCCGGTTGCTGATTCTCATCTCCTAAATGAGTGCGGTGGGAGACTAGGGCTGGTCCCAGACCATCACTAGCCAGGGGCCCGCTAAAGCTGAATACTACAGGGTTGCCGCAAACCTCCTTTGGAAGAGCTTATTATGGTTTGCATGGTTCTCAGTGTAGCGGTGGTGACTAGTGGGAGTTTCTAGATACTGGGAGCAAAGACCATGGCGTATTCGGGCCTCTCCTGGACCCGTTCTGCTCTAAGGGACTGTGGCCATGGCTGCCCCTCCCTTCTCCCTCTTCCCGGGAGCTGGCATACGGCTCTTGGAGGGCTTTCCTGCCTCTTGAACTGTGATCCCAAATAAACCCGCTTTCCTTTAAAATGGGCCCGTCTCAAGCATTTTGTTATATGAGAAAGACAGACATGTTGGACTAGTACAGCTCTGAGAAATCAATGCTTATTATTAAACTAATGTGGTCTCCCCCACCCCCCCACCCCCTCCCCCACCCCTGGCCCAGGGCCAACTTCATCTCTGCTCTGAGTACTCGACCATGGTGTATATAAAATCTCATTCAGAAAGCATAGCAAAAGTTACTGAAAACACTTATAAAAAGGCGTTTTTTCTTAGCGGGCCAGGCATTTTATTGAAAGATGTTAGACACTTTCATTTCAGACCCCTTCATTAAGGTTCTTTATAATGCAATCAGTTATTCCAATATCAGCTGTGACGCACCTTCTACCGCCCCCCCTCATACGTGGCCAATTTAAACATGGTGAATATAGTGTTTCTTTGTGAGTTTTATAAACACTCCATCATGGACAAAAAGCGTCAAATCTTTCCAGCTGATTAAAAGCTTTTACATTTATTATGTAAATAAATGTAAATGTTTGTGTGCTCTGGAACAAGTGGGAGGTTGGAGGATTACTTGTGTAAATTGGTTCTCTCTTTGCACCTTGTGGGTGCCAGGCACCACCCTCTGGCTTGCTTTTATCGGAATATATATATATATATATATATGTATATATGTATACACATATTAAGTATGCTTTTACTCGGTATAAACCTGTATGAGGGATTTGGAGTGGGACTTTGTGAGTTCAAATCCTGTCTCCACCTCTAAAGAACTGTGTGACTTGTTTAAGTCCGTAATCTCCCTGAATCTGTTTTTTTGTAAATGAGACAATAACACAACGTTGGGAGTGGGTTGTCTGGAGGCCACACCAATGGCCCGGAGCTACAGTTCCTACTTGATTAAAGAGAAGCATTCTACTTCTTCCTCGGCTCGCCTGGCTCAAACCTTATTCTCACAGGTGTTTTGAAAGTACGCGTCTATGCATTAACTGGTAGGAACAGGAGCAGCTGCTTTCAGGGCCGTGAGACACCCGAGGCTTTCCTTTAGGAGGAAGCGTCCCCCATGGCCAGCAGCCCTCGTTTGGGAACCAGGCTGCGCGAGCGAAGGTCGAGAAGCCGGCTGCGATCCAGCATCCCCGGGGCAGGCCCTGGGGGCGCAGCTGTGCGTGCGTCGCCGAGGGTGGTGGCGGCAGGCACCCCGCCCTTGGCCGCCGCCTCGGCGTGTCAGGTGCCGTGAGAAGCGCGGGAGGGGCGGCCGAGAGCAGCGCCCAGGGAGATGACTGGAGCCGACTTCCCAGAAGTCGCGCACGCAAGGCACAGCTCCGCACGCAAGGGGGAGGCGACAGCAGAAACTTTTCAACCCGATCGTTCCAGGCATGCAGAGCTGCCTCCTCCTCCCACTCACCACCGCCCCCTCTTAGGTCTCGCGCTCCAGGACTGCCCCCGGCGGCGCCCAAACTTGCATTACAGCCTGGGTGCGATCAGAGCTGTCTCGCGTGTCCAGCAGGTGGCGCGTCCCCTATCTTTCCAACCTGGGAAGTCTCCAGGCCTGCTGAGCTTTGTGTGCCGAAGGATGGTCCACGCCTGGGGCGGTAGGGCAGCAGCTTTCAGGGGTTCCTGATCTCGCCAGCAGAGGTGGAAAGAGGACCTGTGCACACAAAGAGCCACGCTGTAGGGCCAAAGGGTTTGCAAAACCTTAAGATAAAAATCAAGGCAAGACAAAACCGTAAGCAACCCAAGCTACCCCTGTTCCTAAAATGACAAGTTTCCTTTTCTGGCTGGGTGCCTAAGGATCACGAGCTAAGCACCAAGCTCGAGTCACCTGGAGGAGGGGGGGGCGAGCTCTTGGGTGCTCTCTGCTCCAGCGCGCAGAGGCGTGGGAAATTCCGTCCCAAACTCGGTTCTGGGGAAAGCGTGGGGTCTTGACTCGGGGATGGCTGATGATAAGAAGCCGTTATCGCCAAAGGAAAGCTTTACGAGGCGGCTCCCGACAAAACGGCCAGCTGCTGTTCCAGGACCGTCCGAGCGCGCGGCGCGGACTTCCCATTGGACCACCCTGGGTCACCGTGAGCGCGGACGGACGCGAGCCCCAGACTTTCGAGCCCCGCCCCTCACGCCCCACCCCCTCGAGGTCCCGTTCCCTCCAGCCTCTACCCAGTCCTTAAAACCCCCCGGGTAGAGGGATGGCGCGTGTCGCCTCTGGGGTGCGTCGCAGACACCTCTGCGACGCCAGCTTGAAAGCCGTCCACGGCCTGGGATTTGATTCCACTTTATCAACTCCCCGCCCCCACCCATCTCAACCCGCAACTCCAACAACTCCGTGAGAAAGGCCCGACTTTGCGGAGCCCCAGGTGCAGTGGAGCTGAGCAAACTTGAGACACTTTTTCCCCCCTCCCTCTCCTCCAGCCCAATCCAAGTTTAGGTTCTGACTGAGCCAAGAGTGGGTGCTAAAGCAGTGGGCATCAGGTGTCTAGGGCGGGCCTCCAGGTCTCGGGGGACTCTCAGGTTGAAGTCTTGCTCTGGGCAGAGGCTCCGGGGCGTTTTCCCAGAGCCGGTGGCTCTGCACCGCTGGAAAAACCACGCTTCGTCGCAGGTCAGTCTGTCCGCGGAGCCACCTTCCCCGTGGCCTCTTCAGACCGGTTCTTGCAATTCAGTGGTGGGGTGGTAGCTACTTTAAAAGAAACCTGCCTTTGTGTCTGCCACCGGCATTATGTCGGAATTCCGGGAACCGTTAAGCCCCTGGGGATTCTGAAGCGGGTTGTCTCTGCTGGAGGCTGGGTTGGGTGTGGAAGGGTCGTCTTAAGCACCTTGTGCAGAAAGCCACCCCTGACCTGAGCTAGGCACCGCCTCCTCTCTATTCAACAAGGCTCTGTGGTCCCATGCTGGGGCTGGGACGCGGGGGACTCACTCTTTTTTTTTATTTGCGCACCTGAGTGTGTCACATTTTGCTTTTGTATCCCCAGCATGGCCACCAGCCTTAGCGCAGACAGCCCGCAGCCGCTGAGCCCGCTGTCTACTCAGCAGACCACACTTCTGCTACTCCTCTCCGTCCTGGCCGCCGTGCACTTGGGACAGTGGCTGCTGCGACAGTGGCGGCGGAAACCGTGGTCCTCGCCCCCGGGTCCTTTCCCTTGGCCACTGATCGGAAATGCGGCGTCTGTGGGCCGAGCGTCACACCTGTACTTTGCTCGCCTTGCGAGGCGCTATGGGGACGTTTTCCAGATCCGCCTGGGCAGCTGTCCCGTCGTGGTGCTGAACGGCGAGAGTGCCATCCACCAAGCCCTGGTGCAACAGGGCAGCGTGTTCGCGGACCGGCCGCCCTTTCCCTCTTTCCGCGTGGTGTCTGGTGGCCGCAGCGTGGCGTTTGGCCACTACTCGGAGCGCTGGAAGGCGCAGCGACGCGCGGCCTATGGCACGATGCGCGCCTTCTCCACGCGCCACCCGCGCAGCCGCCGCCTCCTGGAGGGCCACGCGCTGTGCGAGGCCCGAGAGTTGGTGGCGGTCCTGGTGCGACGCTGCTCGGGCGGCGCCGTCCTGGATCCGACGCAGCCGATCATCGTGGCCGTGGCCAATGTCATGAGCGCCGTGTGCTTCGGCTGCCGGTACAACCACGACGATGCCGAGTTCCTAGAGCTGCTCAGCCACAACGAAGAGTTCGGGCGCACGGTGGGCGCAGGCAGCCTGGTGGACGTGCTGCCCTGGCTGCAGCTCTTCCCTAACCCGGTGCGCACCGCCTTCCGCGAGTTCGAGCAGGTCAACCGCAGCTTCACCAACTTCGTCCTGGACAAGTTTTTCAAGCACCGCGAAAGCCTGGTGCCCGGGGCTGCTCCCCGAGACATGATGGACGCCTTCATCCTCTCCGCCGAAAAGAAGGCGGCCGGTGGCTCTCGCGATGGTCCCTTCGGGCTGGATTTGGAGAACGTCCCCGGCACTATTACGGACATCTTCGGAGCCAGCCAGGACACCCTTTCCACCGCGCTGCTGTGGCTGCTCATCCTCTTTACCAGGTAAAGTCTCCAGGAGGGATGGGTCGATCCTTTCTTTCCTCCTTTGAAAAAGGGCGTGTGGCTAAAAGGTCACTAGCTAGGCTCAGGGTTTGAGGTTTCGCCCGGCCCCACCTCCTTTCCTTAAAACTGAGATCTCAGGGAGGATAACCCTGGGACCACTAGGACAGGCCTAGACGCGCTCCCCACCCCCTACGGTTGCCAGCATCTCTGAAGTTGTCTCTGCCCCTCCCTACTCCTCTCGTGGCTGGGAACAAATTTGGGAATAGCCCTCCCCCGCAAAAACAAGATTTTTTGCCATGCGAGATCATCCTTGATCCTTCCGTGGCTCAAAAGAAGCAGAATTGGACCAGCTCCAAGGTTCAAGGTGGTGCAGTAGAATGTTAACTAAACAGGGCGCGCGCAGCTGGCACCTCGGAGGCTGTCCAGCCCGGGTCTTAACATCCAGCTGCAGGGCAGGGCTTTGTTACCAGGCAAAGGAAGCCTGAGGAGGCAGGTCCCCAGAGGACAACCTGAGAATAAGATTCACCCCGAGGCAAAGAAAGTAGGAGCAAAGAAAGCCACTTCTGTGGCTGTGATCAGGATCTAGAGAGGAATCTAAGTTATCAAGGAGGTGCCAGGGCCATCCTAATCTGTAGGCCAGGGCACAGACCTCTACAGAACTTCAAGGCTGCGTGCAAGGATTAAGCAGCATCCCCCCCACACCCCGCTGTCAGGTGGTCTAAGCAAATGAATCCTTTATGAGAATTTGACGGTCACCTAATGTTTACCTGAAATTCAGATTTAGCTTGTATTTTATCTGGAAACCCTATGCCGTTTCTTAGCACGTAAGGGATACTGAATATGTGCTCCCCCTTTGAATTTGGCATGCAGAATCGATTTCTATTTGGATTCACACAATTCATATTTCTTGCACAACTACTTTCACATTTTTAAAGTCTATTTAAAATAACTTCAATATTAAAGTCAAAGCGTGGAAACATATTGGGACTATTGGGTGGGGGGGCAGCGGAGGCAGAGAATAAAGGGAATTCAACTCAAGGTTAGGAAAAAGGCCGCCTTGGAGTGGGATCACCAGGTCTTTCACATACGAAGATGAGCTTGTACCCTTTGGAATAAAAAAAATTATTGAGCTGTGTAAGCGGCTTTCCATGTGTTCCAAAGAAATAAAATAATTTCGGGGTCATTATCAATTAAACAAAGATGACATTTTTTCTTTTTCACAAAGAGACAGTATAGTCAGAGTGGGTAAATTATGATGCCTGTTTAGAGCATAAATTTTAGGGGCACACCTGGTCGGTCCACTGCTACATAGTGTCTTCATAGGGCGAACTAGTAACTGTTGCAGGGAGGTCAGAAATGCTTGCTATTTGGCCCTTCGTGGAAAACGTTGGAAGTTCTGTTAAGTGATTTTAACAGCAGCCGGGATTTCACCATTTAAAGGCTTAGCTTATTTTCAAGGCTGTAATTATTCTCCTCCACCCTCCACCCTTTTTGAGCCTTCTATTTAAACTTCCTCAACGTTTAACATTGATGTTAGCATGCTTTTTCTCTTTTGAAAAGTATTTTTTTTGTTCATTTATTTTTGAGTATATGGCAGTTTTGCCTGAGTGGATGTCTGTGTACCAGGTGCACACCTAGTGCCTGCAGAGGTCAGAAGGGGGTGGATCCCTTGGGACTGGAGTTACAAACTCCACTCAGCTGCCTTATGGGCGCTGGAAATTGTTCCCAGGCGCTCTGCAAGAGCAGCTGATGCCCTTAACCACAGAGGTTACCAATCTCTCTCACTCAATATTACAAGTTAGACAATTTTATTTTTCTGTATTAAACCTGTATTTTTAGTAATTTTGATGGCTACATAATATCTTGTCCTAATATTATACACATATAAAATCAGTTTTCAGCTTTAACAGTAATTGTTGGTTTTTAACTGCATCATAAGTTTTAAGTATTATTCTAATTGTGTATCATTATACCTGTTAAGCTATTTTCTGAAAATAGGCTTTTAGAGATAAATAATTTAAGTTTAAGAAATGAAGGACTGAGGAATGATTGCCTTTGTAAAGTTTGCTGTGCACTAAGATTTTTTTCTTCCAAAAGAATTATCCCAGTTTCTATCAGCAAGAGCGCAGAAGTAAAATTTGTACCCCCATCTGACAAACTGGGACTCTGCCTTTTAAATTTAGGAAATGCGTAGCTTTATCTATCAGGAGACCAGTAATACTTTATAAAATAATAACAGTGAATTGTCTAATGATATGAGGAAAGGAAAATAATCCATGTTCAGGGCAGTGTTTGAGCTTTTGTGGGCCTGGGGTCCTTGGGCCGTTGTAGACTGCTTTATGAACACATTGAAAGTATATTTTATGACCACACTGGTATAAAATCAATATTAAAAACGTGTTATGAGAACTTCTACTTAGAAGTCCATTTGTTTAGGTCTGAAGGCTTTACAGGATAGACAAATATTTTCCTGGGTGTCTAAAATGTCTTGTGGGCCTAGGCACTGTGCCCGGTACATAAGTAGGTTTGGCCACTAATGTGCATTTTTAGACTATTAAAAACTTAAGAGTTTTATTTTCTCACAATGGGAAATTAATCCTAGGCTATAAGAGGCTTATTACAGAAAAATAAAATTGTCTAACTTGTAATATTGAGTGAGAGAAATTGGTAACCTGTTTTTTTTTTTTCTTTCAGAAATTGTAATTCAGTCACAGACCTAGATAGTTTGTGGAATTAAAGTAGAATTGCTGTGTGCTGTGAGGTGGAGGGTGAACTAATTTTGTTTTTTCTCTCTCTCTCCCTCTCCCTCTTCCTTCCTCTGCCCTCTCTCTCAATCTTCCCCTTTCTTGCTGAAATCCAAATAGATACCCTGATGTACAGGCTCGGGTGCAGGCTGAGTTGGACCAGGTTGTGGGGAGGGACCGTCTGCCCTGCATGGATGACCAGCCCAACCTGCCATACGTCATGGCTTTCCTTTATGAATCGATGCGATTTTCCAGCTTTCTGCCTGTTACCATTCCTCACGCCACCACGGCCAACGCCGT